ACCTCAAAGGGATGACGAGCGAGCGTAAGCTGGTGTAGATAGAGGAGCCTGAACAAAGTGTGATAAAAAAGACACTTACCACTATTTATTTAGTCAATTAGTTATGTATCATTTATAAAAATATTTAGAACAATAATTTCTATTTGATAAAAGTACTGTATATTTGTTTTATTATTTTTGTTGGTTCTGCCAGAAATCAAAAGTATACTCAATCTCCATTATCACCCTGACCAAAAATATGGCAATAATAATGTGCATTAAACTCTTAACTTGCCTTTCATAATGTTATTGTAGAATAAGAGCAATTTTGTATAATATTAGCATTTTAGCACTGTCTCAGTACAAAATTCCAAAGTAACCAGCACGCTGGCAAACAAAAGAACTTAATCTTTATTTGAGTGCTTTTGCAGTCTTAAAAGAGGTTTTCCCAACAAAAGAACCAGTCAAAATAACACTTTTGTTTCATAAACTTTTTTTCCTTTCTTTCTTTTCAAAAAATCAAGTCATGAACAAGAGATAGAAAAGCACTAAAATCAAAAATAAATAAAATAAAGCCAGATCAATTCAGGTGCTCATGTAGAGCTTATTGTGGGTTATTGTCCATTTCATTATTTCTTGCAAAGTAGTTAAATCACAAGAAAGAAAAGTACATGTACATAGAAGCGAATGCAAAATCAAATTGCCAATACACTGAGAACCCCAAGAGGGGTAAGTCAAAGCTTACCCTCTGAGAAGCTGATGAGCCCAAGAAGATGAAGCAACTTGATGGATGCGAAAACCAGCACCACGATGCCCACAGTCTGAAGCCCCTCCGTCTCCCAGATGACACTTAGCATCGCTCCGCCCTCGGCCCACTCACCGCTGCCGCCACCATAACCAGACCCCAACCCGGACTCTGACCCTGAGCCCACCTCGTCACCCTCGGGGCCTCCTCCGCCTGGTCCCGAGCTCCAGTTGCCCTGTATCCACTCCAGCGCTACGCCAGCCCTACCACCTGCCTCCCACCAAATCCAGTCTGATAAAGCCCCGGGTGAACTTTCTTAAGATAAAGTCTAGAAAGTCCAAATGAGAACTTCCAGGATTCCAAGTTCTTTCAAAGTCCTGTCTGAGAAATTGTCCATAAAAGTTGAAAGTAAAGCTTTCTCTTGGCGTCTCTGTCTTTGCAGTCGCTTCACTGCAAACTAACAGAAGGAGAGGCTGAATATGAGTGAGGGAGAGAGGCTCGGGAAGGGGAGGGGGAGCTCAGACGGAGGAGGGGAGGAGTGCTATGTACACATTACTTAAAGCCCGCTTTGAAGAGGATCTTTTCAGCTAACAGTACACCAACCTTGAACCACTGCGAAGGCGCTTTCTTTCATCAAATATAAACAAACTTATAATTAACTCCAAAATACGCATAATAGATTTGAATATCAATTAAGTCCTTCACTTTTGGACGTCTGCTTCTACCTGCTTTCCATAATTATGAGGATTACTTTACATTATGAAAAGTTTGTTTTCCCCCCATCAACAACATACCTCAAGTTGTTTATAGGTCCATCCACAATACCCCCTTAGGGAAATTATCAGCACCCCCTCCCCTTCTGTTCAAATGCTATAACAAAATCTTAGTATATGAATGCCATAGACAAAGCTGCCATGAGACATTTAATTTAAAAGTATTGCACAATAATTCGTTTCATGAATTTCTCCAGCCAAATTGCCCTCTTCATAATTGCCAGCCTTGAAATGATCAAGTTTTGTTAAATTTGAACACAATTTATAATAATGAAAAATGATAATGCATTGTTTTTTTTATTAACTAATACGGTAGCCACAGATGCCCTGGGACAGACATTGTCCAAAGCGAGGCAACCAGTACGTGACATCTGCCCCCCCGACCACCAACCAATCACACACAGACCAGACTCATTCTAGGCAATGTGGGTGAAGTGTCTAAGGATAAAACAACAGTACTCCCATCACAGTACTAACCAGGCCCTGCCCTGCTTAGCTTCACAGGTCTGACAGGATATATATGGACGCAGGATATATATTTTGACTCGTATTGAAGCATTTTCAGCATCTACAGCTAGTTATGTTAGCTAAGAAACATAGCTACTACTTATTTTGTATATATTGTGTGTGCTCCCTGTGTGTTCTTACTACTGTCCTGTATGTGCGCTGCAACATTGAAATTTCCCCACTGTGGGACGAATAAAGGAATTCTTTTCTTATCTTATCTCGGATCTAGCATTCACATACAGGTGGCACAAATAATTACTCACTTATGCCACTCAATGACAGTGCTGGCACATTCTAGCAATCTCTTACTTCGGCGGCACGGTGGCTGAGTGGATAGCACTCTCGCCTCTCAGCAAGAAGGTCCTGGGTTCGAATCCCGGCCGGACCAGGGCCTTTCTGACTGGAGTTTGCATGTTCTCCCCGTGTCTGCGTAGGTTTCCTCCGGGTACTCCGGTTTCCCCTACCACTAAAATATGTACAATAGGTCTGACATGTGCCTCCTGTACTGGCGACCCCGCTCCCATCTCTGTGTGGAGTGAGAGACAATTGCCCAAAAATAACAATTGTGAACCGCTTTGTGACTCTGGTCTGTGAAAGGCGGTATATAAATAAAGATTACTTACTTCGTTACACACTTTATCCATATATTTGCTACTTATTCCACATTCCAAACCTGCAAAGCCAAACTGAATATTCTCCAGCTGATTTTTAGGCGCCAAAAATTATGCATAGAAACTGTTCTTTAAAACATCTAATATTCAAAACGGATCATTCAAATATTCAAAACGGATGTAGAACTGTCTTTCACGGATCGCAGCCCACTCTAAACCCACGTTTGGAGGGAAATGCAGATGGTAAATTGGTGGAGTTACAGAATGCAGCTTAAAAGAATGCGCTGGAAGAAAGGCTCAGCCAATGGGTGAGTAGCATGCATGTAATTACAAATGCTATATACAAAAGGGGAATAGTCCTTCAGCGTATGTTCAGTGGATGCATGTATGTGAGGAAAAAAGAGAGCACAGTACCATCTACTGGCTCCATGTAGACTGTAGGCTTACTGTGACCAATCGCATCAGCCTCACAACCCATTTCATGTGGGACAGATTCTTATTTTTCAGAATGCAAAACTCCCACTGGGTGACTGCCAAGCGAGATGCAATTTCAAACAGACAGTAATGATTTAAAATTCAGCAAAAAAATCTGTTAACCCAAATTCAATCTACAGTAAAGCCTTCAAGGTTCGATGACATGAACAAAGTCTCAGCATTGGCGCTCCGCAGCAGTGAATTACTGACGAAAGTAAAGAAAATACATTACATACTTTGGTAAAGCACAAACTTGCAAAAGGTTCACGGGTGAGGTTTTTCTCCATTGAGGCATGACTGTCTTCGGCTCAGAATATCCCAGTACTGTATGAAGACAGCTGGAAGCTCAAATATTTTTAACCAAGGATTATTTTTAGTTATGTAAACAAATGTTATCTTTTGAGCCATTAATAAAAACCAAAGTCACTGATAAATGTAAATGTTCTTTACTGACCATGATCTGCCTGGAATTACATTGTTCACACTTTCGAGTTTGACATTATCCATATCCAAGTTAATGAGTTGTTGTGGAAAGATTTGACTTACTTCTTTAATAGATTTGACTTACTTCTTATAAATAATAGCAATTATTTTAGTTTTTAGTTTGTCATATTGAAAAATAAAAACAATATCAAAGTGTTGCTTTTACAAAACATACAGACAACTTTAATTTTAGTAATTAAGACCTTCAGGCTGAGAGCCCAATTTCTTCTTTTTGAAATAATAGCAATTATTTTAGTTTTTAGTTTGTATGTATTGTAAAAGCAAAACTGTGTCTTTTGAATTTTTGTAAGCAAGACCTTCAGGCTGAGAGCTCATTGGCTGAGCAAGTTCCTATCCTGATTTCACTTTTCAGTCTGAAAAAAGCTGATGTAAAGTTGTGTTAGAGGCCAAAAGAATCATGCATATGAAATCTAAAGATGAACCAAAATGTTTTGAGAGGGAGAAACTTGGTATAAATGTCATAGTTTCACATTATTTTCAATGTATAGAATGGAATCCTCTTACTTGACCAAAGTATTGTTATAGAAATATTTTAGTAAAGCAATCTGAATTAACACCAAATAGTTATGAGTGTAAGTTATTAACTAATAGTCAACTCTGGATTCAGATACAGGCCATAGTGCTCTGTTGGCAGCGGGTCAGTGATAGATGGAGACGTGCTGCATCATGTCTTTGACCTGGGTCATAGAACAATATGTTCAGTTCAAAAGCAGATTGTTACATATATCAGAGTTGTATCAGCGTTAGGAGGCGTAAAGAGAAGCCTTGAGCAACACATATCAATGTTGACTTCATTTATGTAATATCTAGAGTAGATATGTGTTTGTTTACTCTGGTCTATTTAATGTACAGTTATTTCCTCAATCGTGGCAGTCGATTTCGGACGGCTGCCCGGTGGTATTGGTATCGGTTCTGTTGTTCATTGTAATTGTGCACATTTACTAATGAATAAACTCACACTTTGTTTGGAATTACAGCTCTGGGTTGTTTATGTTATTTTACTCTTGTTATGTGCAGAATTTCTACAACAATTTGGCGTCACGAACAGTCCCATCGTCTGGAGGGGCTTCGCCGCGGACCCGGCCCAGGAAGGGTGGCCTCCCCAGCCTCTGGCATGGTCTTCTCCTCGCGTGTTTGAGATACAGAAGATTCCTGGCGCCGGGCCGAGACGATGCCGTCCAGCGCATGGTTATCAAACGGACAAACGTAAACAACCAGTGTGGTAAGAGCTGTATTCTTTCAAACTGTCAAAAGAACCCCGTATTTTATCTCTCCGCGCAAAACTAAAAGCCCCATTTTCACCCAGTGAGAGGCCTTGGCTGTCCTGTTCTCAGAGTCAGTGTGTTTCCTGTGTACAGATGTTTTAACTAGCAAGTTAAGGGTTAATTGTGTATTAACTAGCTTGACTTGGACTAGTGAAGCCAGAGGGTACTTTGGACTAGCAAGTTAAGGGTTAATTGTGTATTAACTAGCTTGACTTGGACTAGTGAAGCCAGAGGGTACTTTGGACTAGCAAGTTAAGGGTTAATTGTGTATTAACTAGCTTGACTTGGACTAGTGAGGGCATAGTAAGGAGAATAGGGACGGCCATAGTGAGCCAAGATGAGTCAAAATCAGGGACCATTATCGTCTGACAGGGACGAGGTCCCACAAACCGCGGTGACGACCCTTGAATGTTCAAATGTATGGTCTGGAAAAATAGGGTTTCCCGGACAGTAGGTCTTCAAACTTAAATCAATTATATAAACTACAAACATTTAGAAAATTAGCAAATGAAACCTACCAAATAGATTCTGATGTATGTAATAATGAGTCTGGCGTACTGTGTACAAATTCTTGACAAAACATGAGTGTTTGAGTATGTGAACGGATGAAGTAGAGGGAGTAAAAGAAAAGAAAATAAGAGTAGTTGATTTAAACTAATTAGTTGGTTAATTACATTGGGGGAAATGTAACCATACACACATTACAAACACATACAGAGTCCAGAACCAGTACAGTCCTGGGCGACACAGACTGGTATGAAAGTGACATGAGATGTGTGAAGCGAGCCAGGAGTGATAAGACTTGAACTGGAGTGACCGAGAATGACTGTGAGAGTGACTGATAAACAAAGAAATACAAGTCTGTGTGGAGAGCGAATGGAAAGTCAGAATGAGCGCATGAATGTATGTAAGAGACCCAATCGAACCACCTGAATACTCTATCAAGAGCCGTATAGGCGCGACGACACACACACACACACACACACACATGCACGCAAACACGCACACGCAATCTATCAAAGGGCGAGTTACTGCCGTATCTTTTTTTTTTTCTATTTTCACATAGATAACCCTGGGATCGTGGATGCTTCTGAGCCGGTCAGATGTGTGGACCCCGACCTAGACCCTGGACGTGTGACTAAACGTCCCCAAACCTGAGACTCTGATGGAGGACAATGATATGGAGGGTAAGACAAACCCCTTCCTGAACCAGAACCCTCGTCAGTTACCCACAAAGCCCAACATGGACAAGTCTGGTGCCCCAAACAGTCATGAAAGCCAAGAACTCTGTCCCCGGCCCCCTGTGCCCAAACCAGTCATGCCAAGAACGGGCAGCTACTGGGCAGACGTCTGTGACCCAGTCAGGTGATTCATCTAAGCAAGTATATAAGTGTGGGTTTTAATATTGTAATAAAGTTAGTTAACTATTGTGTGTGTTTGCTCAAATGTTCAGATTTTGTGTTAATTCATAATCATTGTGATTTCTATTATTATTTTAAGTTGATTAAGATAAACCAAGGTTTTATATTTATCAAGAGATAGGATTGTTATAGAAATATTTTAGTAAAGCAATCTGAATTAACACCAAATAGTTATGAGTGTAACTAATAGTCAACTCTGGATTCAGATACAGGCCATAGTGCTCTGTTGGCAGCGGGTCAGTGATAGATGGAGACGTGCTGCATCATGTCTTTGACCTGGGTCATAGAACAATATGTTCAGTTCAAAAGCAGATTGTTACATATATCAGAGTTGTATCAGCGTTAGGAGGCGTAAAGAGAAGCCTTGAGCAACACATATCAATGTTGACTTCATTTATGTAATATCTAGAGTAGATATGTGTTTGTTTACTCTGGTTTATTTAATGTACAGTTATTTCCTCAATCGTGGCAGTCGATTTCGGACGGCTGCCCAGTGGTATTGGTATCGGTTCTGTTGTTCATTGTAATTGTGCACATTTACTAATGAATAAACTCACACTTTGTTTGGAATTACAGCTCTGGGTTGTTTATGTTATTTTACTCTTGTTATGTGCAGAATTTCTACAACAGTATAATCAGCCATTTATTTTATTGTTTTTATCCCCTTTATAAAATGGAACACAACCCCTGACAATCCACCATGACAGGGGACAAGTCACCAGAGATGTACGCTGCCAGCTTATTGGCTTTTTTCTCCCTATGATCCAAACTCCTGGGCCGTGATATCAATTTCACAGCAGCGCAGCCAAAAAGTGCCCACCGCTGGCTTCACATCAATCCCGCCTCCGTCCAATCACACAAACATTAAAAGCCGAACCACGCGGCCAACAAGGGCACTCATCTTTGCTCTGCGTTGCCAGAAAAGTCCCCGTAGGTTTGAACATGTCGCCCGAAGCTCTGAAAAAGTACTGAATATTGATGGTTAATAAAGTATGCAGAAAGAAAAGGCCCAATCACACACGTTTCCGAGCATGGACATTGGCTAACCAAGCAATAAATGATGGTGGCAGCGGGGATAAACGAAAGGGAGGTGCAGATGGCGATGGAATCAGCCTCTAACACGATTCAATCCCAGCGTTGACAGGTAAATATTACGTAGAGTAGACCATTAAGATACATTCCAAGCAGACTCGGTTAAACAGTGGCATTCGTTGGCAGTTGCGTCCATATTCTGTCTCCGCTGATCTGACAGGGCCATTTTCTCCTCAAGATTAAAATTACAAAATGTGTTTCGATTGGGGGAAGAAAGTAGGAGAAGGAATGTGACAATTTGACAGAAAAAGTATTCCCAGAGCTAAGCCTTTTTTGTTCCCTGAAGAGATTGTTTTCAATAAAGCTCAAGGATTTTCAGCCGCTGCTTCCAATGTATTGTCTTTAATTGGGGAAAAAAGCAGTTTGATCTGGTTTTTAAAAAGTGCCTTAAATGGTATTTAATCTTTAAAATAGGGCTGTCAAACAATTACAATTTTCAATCGAGTTAATTACAGCTTAAAAATTATTTAATCAGGATTAATCGCATTTCGAACTCACTACTGTATGTACTGTATTTGTTTATTCTAACAATAAATCCACATAAAACGGTATAAACATTATTCACATTTTGTCTTTCTGTAGTAGAAAGTGTTTGTTCTTAGTTCAATTTTTTTTTTATTAAAACCCGTAATTTAATTGAAAAGTTGAGCTCGTTGATTCATCTGTGTAAGAATTCAGGCCATAAAAAGTACTGAGTAAATACTTTGCGTGACGCTCGTTCTCCTAGGCCACGCCCCCTGTAGCGTCTGCAGCGCATGTAAACAACAGCAGCATGGTAGGAAGAAGTCCGGGTGAACATAGCTAGCTTACATCTTATCCTCTCTGGAGAGACATGCGGGTGCGGACCGCCTCGGACTTTTGGATGCAAAACTAGCGGTAATCTTTCAGTTATTGTACTGTACATTTTGTTAGAAGTGCACTGCTTTGGTATCATTCCATCAGTGATTGTTGTACAGATCATAAGAAGTTGTGCTAATGCTAACTAATGCCTACCTGCTCTGTTGCCATCTCACACGCATGTATCTGCGTCACTACTGAGTGTTATTATGGGATGCATGGGCGGATCATGGGCATTAATGTCTTCATTTTTTTAACGCAATTAATGAAAAAAATTTATTAACGTGCATTAACGCGATAATTTTGACAGTCCTACTTTATAATAATGTATATTTTGGACCATGGAACCGTATACTATTAGGTACTGTAAGTATTTTTCTACAATAATCATATTAAACTGGTCCCTCCCCTTGGTGCAACTCGGACCAGAAACATTAGCTGGAGGAGAATAGTTAAGAAGCTGCGGGAATAGTTAAGAAGCTGCGGCAGAGAGCATGGGCAGGACTAATCAGTGTCTTCACTAATTAAAAGGTAACTTAACTTTAAAGGAGACATATGGAGATTGTATTATTGTATATTGTCTGAAGTAAAGTAGCAAACGCAGAGTCATACAAATCTTTATAAAAAGCTGTCTGCAAAAGAAATGTCATGCTGTTCCCCAGTCAGACGTCACTGCTGTGTCCTGTAAATCCCTTATCTCGGAACAGGATAAGTCTGAGTGACAAACCGTATTGTTCATTTCATGCCTGTAGGACTTTATACACGGATCAAGAGAAAGATTACATACGCTATATTCCAAACTACCACCTGACTTTGTTTGACCTTCCTGCACATAAAATCCACCATCATTGCTAGCAAATTCCTTCAATCTTCTTTCTATTCATCCTGTAGTCCCGAGCCGTGAGACAAAGCTCATCTACTTTTAATCACAGGATCCTTCACAATTCAATGCCATATTAGGACACGGTGGTGCAAAAGTCTCTTCTCACAGCAAAAAGACTTTAAGATAGGCTCCTGGCCTTTAAGAGTTTGCTTGTTCTCCTCACGACTGCACAGGTGTCCTACGGAGGCTTTTTCAAACTTTTATCACAAATAATACATACAAAATTCATCACTAACTCTATGCAAAGGTGGATCGGTCTTTGCCGTTTAATAGACAGCAAATGTTATGTGGCCGGTGGAAATTCAGCCTGGCCCGTTTCACCCTTGGCCAATCACACAGTGCTGCCAAACTCTGCCAAACAAGCAGCTGTTTAAAAGTGGAAACTTCCCAACAACTAACCCTTTTCCAGTCTTGCAAGAAGTTCGTTCTGGCGTTACTTTTGTAACTTCACCCATACGCCACCACCAGTACCTAGGTCCTGGGGGATTATAAGTGGCACACAAGGAAGGGAAAAGTGCAGCAGCCGGGGCCAAGGATGCAAAACAGACAAATGAATGAATTAATTGAATGCAATTTTGTGTCTTTCTCCAGATCAATCTGTGATAAGCTGACATTTTATGGTGAAAACTCAACCCTTTTGAATAACAGGACAGTTATAATAAAATACAATACAACATACAGTATTATAA